CCCCCCCCCCCACACTACTCTGACCACAATCAGTGGTTGGAACATGGATGGATGGATGGATAGGTGGATAAACGCATGGTTTGTATTGTTTGCATAATAATATTTGCATGCTTATCCTCATATAACATATAAGATACAGTATATATTGGGAAAAGTGCAATTTTTATGAGCAAAAGTGCAAAGCTGTTCAGCATGAAAAAGACCATTTAAACTGAATTAATGAAAACTACTCTGCTCATTTACTCCAGTCAGCATAACCAGATGTTTCCAGTCCAAACGGCCATTGTTGTGTAACAAACCACATGAGGGTAATCATGCATTTATATTTGAAAATGTATTTATTAATCCCGTGGTCTGAGTCACCTTCTAATCCAGTGGAACCGCCAATGAAGAGATTGTAGGGATCGAGGCCTCATTTTTTCAAATGAGCAAACCCCGTCGGGCTTCATTTGTCTGTGCACAGAGATGCAGGGACAGGTCATGTGAGGCAGACAGCGGCTTGGGAGCCCTGAAGGGGGCCGATTACATTGCAATGATAAGTCTACTCTATTTGCATACTCTGTTTTTTACAGTATTGTGAAAATAAAGGAACTGTGTTTACTAAATATTCTTTGTTGATATTATTAATTTAGACTTCACGCTAAAATTATGGTGATAAATTCTACCATGTCGGGGAGGGGGGGGGGTGGTTGGGATGCTGGGTTAGGGGGCCCCCAGTGTCCCTAGAATCACTTCTGTGCTGAAGGTGCCATCGACCTCACATCAACTAGACTGCTAATGATCTGCTGGTGAATGTTTGACAGGGCCAGACCATTCCCACCCTTGGCTCTGACCAGACACGGCCCAGTGCTTGTTGACGATCTCTTGAGAAGCGCGGTTTTGATTTTCAAGACCTTTTCTTCCAACAATAATACAAAGCAATGGACACAGTTCACCACAACCACAGGTCTGTTTTGATAAAGCCATAAAGCATCAGTGTTGATCTGAGGCAGATGGTAGTCATCTGTGGAACACAATGAAAGGAAAAGTGTAGATATTATTAAGGACAGGAAGCGTAATTACGCTCTACCTTCTGGATACCGGCACAGCCAGCGGTATGTTAAACTTCCAGCGGGCAGAGCAACCTGGCTGCTCTCTACTTATAAACAATGGGACACGTGCAAGTTATTGTTATTACAAATTATTGGACACTTCCCATACCGTTAAATTTGAAAAGTACAGTACGTACCTGTGGGAATTCTTATTTATGTTTTGTGTTTCCAAAATATGCATTGGGATCTGTGTTCTGTATGTCCCCGCGACCATGATGTCGATAATGGTTATTATTATAACTGAATTTGAAATAAACAAATGTGCAGAAGAACATGGACAAAGAGAAATGCAGCACCAGAGGTGCAGACCCGGCAACGGCCCGGGCCCCCCGCAGGCAGCCATAGTGCATTGCAGCTATAAATCTGCTTTATTTGTGTGTTCTGTTTTTCACAGTAAAGTGAAAATAAAGGAGTCGTGTTCATCAAATTCTCTTTGTTGATATTAATTCAGACTTCGTGCTAAAATATTGGTGATAAATTTTACCTAGTCGGGCGGGGGGCGTTGGAGGGCCTCCATGGAGTAATTTTTTCCTAGAGCCCCCCAGCATCCCTAGAATTGCCTCTGTGGAGTGCTGTGGGGGTCCTGTGTGTGCCAGTGTGGCTTCACACCTCCTGGGTTGTAGGTTCGGTTCCCGATCCAGGCTTGGGATGTGTTCTGGAGCTGCACGTTCCCCTTGTGTTTGTGTGAAGTTTTCTCCAGGCGTACCTTCTATTCCACAGTCCAAAGCCACATGGGTAGGTAAATTGTTGTCTTAAAATAGCCCTTTAAATGTGTGACAGCCCTGGGATGAACTGCTGTTCCGTCAGGGGCTTTTCCCTGCTTCACGCCCTGCACCTCCTGGGACAGGCCCAAAGTTCACCCAGACCATGCATTGCATAAACAGTCACGGAGATGAATATCCCTAAAAAAAATAAGGAGTAACCTCTAACTTCTATGGCCTTTATTTCATGCTCAACAATACAGAAATATAGAAATTTCGCTAATCCTGGTACCAGCTCATTTTTGCTCCGAAGTCTTGCTGAGACGCTTCTGATGGACTCAAAGCGGTACCTGTACCTATCGCATGGGCTGCAGAGGAATAACTCCAAGTTTGCCTTAAACTTGCGTTAAAGAGCTGGTCCGCAGCAGGAAAAAACAATCAAGAGACGTTGATGATGGAATACAAACAAAGGCCCCTGAGTTCCTGTGGGCAGGACAAAAGCGCTCCCCCCCTCTCCTGGGACACAGGCTGTTTCCTCCCCTTCTTTATCCGAGGAAACACCAAAATAATCAGCACTCAACTCGTGAACACCTTGCCCAGGCTCGCTGGCTCATGAGGGCAGAGTCTCGACAAGGAACCACTACTAGAGTCAAGGACAAGTCTCCCCCAAGCCCGACACCATGAAGGCCTCGACAGTGATGATCGTCTTCGCATTCTGTCTGATCATCAAAGGTATGGGTGCTGCATGCTTCTTTAATAACGATGACTGAGAGAGAGAGAGCTTATCGAGTTGCTATGGGGGGGTACTCCCTATGGGGCGGCATGCCTTGGGGGGGGTGACTTATTTACTGGGATATGGATACACTTTCATCGCCTAAATGATGTGCAGTGAAATATGTCATCAGATGGATCTTAACTTCGATTTTTTTATTTAAATTTAGTTTTTTATTGATTTTACTTTTATTTGTTTATTTTTTACTTCCCACGTACTATTCTACTTTGTAAACTAAACGTTATTTAAAATGTATGTGATCATTCTGTACTGCGTAGTACAGTCAGTGCAAGATGCATCAGGCAGATAAAAATACAAAAACCAGATGAAAGTGGGATTTTATATATATATATTAGATTAGATTGACTTTATTAATCCCACAATGGGGAAATTCCTTAGAAACAGCAGCAATAATAAAAAAGACAGTATAACAGGATCCATAGGATCAGCAAAAATAACAATATAAGAACAATATAGGCAATAAAAACAATAGAAAACAATTTCTAAAACTGTATAAATATATAAGTAAAAATATAAAGAAAAAAAAAATATATAGACAATGCTAGGTATATGGATGAACAGCTGCTGAATATATATATGTATAAAAAAAATAAAAAATTCCCCACCCCCCAAATTTTAATTCTTGTAACTGTAATGTGTCGGTGTACTGCTGCTGGAACTAAATTTCCCGGAGGAACCTTCCCGAGGGATTAATAAATTACTATCTAATCTAATCTAATCTAATCTAATCTAATCTAATATATATGTATATACATACATACATACATACATACACACACATATACATATATGTGTGTGTGTGTGTGTGTGTGTGTATATATATATATATATATATATATATAAATTTTTCTCATGTCTCATAATTTTTTAACTTTGTTCATAAAGATGTGATGGAGGCAAACAATGAAACCATGCAAAGATTCTACAACGCTAATGTGATAATAGCCTCACCGTTGCATTTATGGGTTATTCAAGGCGTCTTTTATTAAACATGCTGTGACTAAAGCTATAGTCCCTGGAAATCCTTCGAAAAGACGGCATACATTTTTCAGGATGATTCCAAAAGCCATCATTCACATAATCGACATTAAGGTCAGTGTTTTTTGCTTTCTTCCAAGCTCAGTGGCATATTGATGATATTACTTGCGAGTTCAGTTAGAGGTAGTTTCTGCAATTTGCTATATGTATGACGTTAATTTATCAGGAAACAGGTCAGTTGATAGGAGAATAGATGTGATATGGACAGGTATCACAGAGCTTGTAGCGGCTGTAGTGGTTTGGGATCCATGATCATCTAATTAGTGCAAAAAAAATGGCAAAGGGTGGAAAGACAGCTGGGATAGAATAGGGGGGGGGGGATTGACCATTCTGAACTGGTCTAGGAGGACACAAGAGAGAAGTTCTTAGGTTCCATAAACACTGGTTTCTTTCGTTTGTCTTTCTGAGTTTTCTTGTGACCCTGACCCACCTCACCATACGGTCTGATTGTCCTGTACTCTCAAATGTTCTGAGAGGAGATTTCAGCAAAAATAGACCTTTAGTAGTGTTATATTCAGCGTGACCCGAGACCGTGCTTTTGATCCATTGTTGCAATTGTGTAAATATTGAAATGACTATAAAAAATTGACAATGCATCGACAACAAAGGAATTTAGACCAAAAAATTGGCAAGTTCTCGTATTTGCTTTTGTGCGCATGTTAAATTAACAATAAATGTAGGTTTGTGTAAAAGATTTCTAAAAAAAAAAAATCCTGCTTAGGAGACTCCTGCTGCTTTGTTTGGTTTGTTTGTGGGAGATGAGTGGACGCCATTTTCATTGGGGATACTGGCATGATGGAAGGCCTTGCTCTGCTCTCTGTCACAAACAAGGGTGATCCTTGTGAAGATAGGCAGTGTACCCAAGCCAAGGACAACACCCAAAGTTATTTTTTCCCTAGACAGAAGTTTCTTTGGTATCTGCTGTAGGTTTGGTAGCTGTCCCAGTTTATAGGAAATATGTTCATTAAATTGATTGTGTGCTGGTGTCCCGCCCATGGTGAACCTACCCCTGCCTTTTGCACTGTGCTGCCCGGCACAGGCTCTTACAGACGAGCCCAAGATAAGTAGTTATGGTAGTTTAAGTGAAAAATGCATCAATCTTAACATTCCCGCACTTGGGATCTTATGCAGCGCCCTTGGCACTCGACTCCGCTTCCCCGCGTCCGTTCTGTCCTTAATGTTCTGCCGCCGGATTATCTTCAGTGTCAGCGTCCACTACATCCAACAGGACGCAGCTTCTCACACGCTACACAGACATGAAAGAGCAGCCACTCTACCACGTCAGCAATACGGAAACATCTATTGTCAAAAATTCACAAAACAAAGAGAAATGTCAGTCTGTGGCCAGTAAATTTAATCAGTTTCTGAAGACTATGGCAATACGCTGCAAAAATCTCAAAGTTTAAACGATCTCCACTTTGGTGTAAAACTACAATATTGTGTCTGTCAAAGTGTGTCACTTTACCCATTTCAAAATCTCTTGTAACATCTCCCCAGAATCTGCAGCACCCGTCCAATGTGGCAGTGTATTTTTTTTTTACTTGACCATTATCCTGCCTAGTTTGGCAAATCGATACCTCATCGAGATATTTAACTAGTTAAGTTCATTAGAACCGAAACAGTGTTCTTCTGGCCATCCTGTGAGATATCAGTAACTTTTTGCTGTGTTACTGTTCATCTTAATGTTAAATTGTGTGTGCATTAGAATGAGGTACGTAAGAAAAATATCCAAAAAAAAAAACAATGTAATCATAGAATGAAATTCCCACTATTTTACTCTTTCTGTTTTAGTGTTTAGAAGATGTTACAGCAATTCTTACACATGTTTGACGCTGGTTCCACCAATGGGGGCAAGGGGCAAAGGACACAATTGTCTCTAATTGGGTGATTTCTGATGTTGGTGTTCTATGATTAGAGTGAGCTGATGATTGGGGACACATGCAGAAAGTGAGGGGGCCAGAGTCAGGACCAAAGGGCCACATTTCAGAAATGTAAAGGTAGGGTCAAGAAGAATGGACAGAATCTCCAGATGGTGAACAATCTCCACCACATGGAGCTTTGGAGTTCAATTCGAAGCTTGTTAACAATTTCCTGGTAGGAGATGACTGCTTCCCTGGAGAAATTAAGGTAGCAGGACTGACAAGCAGGAACGCTGACAGTCTACAGTTGAGATCTCCTGGTAACGCTCCTACTGGTTACTGCTGGTATCCATTCATTCACCTTCCAAATGATTACCCAGTACTGGGTGATGGTGAACCTGTCGCCTATTACTGGGCACAAGGCAGGATGGGATCCAAGATCTCATCTGGACAGACTCACAGATGATACGGGTAACACAAAATTCACCCAACTGTGAACAACCACTGCAGCACCATGCAATCCTTCTACTGGTATTTCAATGGTTAATACAGTGAGGGAAATAATTATTTGACCCCCTGCTGAATTTTTAAATTGACCCCTTAATAAAGAAATGAGAAGTCTATAACTTTACTGGTAAGTTTATTTTAACAGTAAAGGATAGATAGATCAACAAAACAAGCCAGAAAAATAATCATGTAACAGTTACAAACCAATTTGTCATTTTTCTAGGGAAATAAGTATTTGATCCCTTGGAACACCTGCTTTAGTACTTGGTGGAATAACCATTGTTTGCAAGCACAGCTGTCAAACATTTCTTGTAGTTGGTCACCAGGTTTGCACACAGCTCAACTGAAATTTTCATCCACTCCTCTTTGCAGATCTCCTCCAAATCTTTAAGGTTTTTAGGTTGTCACTTGGATACACGAAGCTTGAGTTCCCTCCATAGGTTTTCTATAGGATTAAGGTCCGGAGACTGGCTAGGGCACCCCATGACCTTAATGTGCTTCTTCTTGAAGCAGCTTAGGGTTCTTGTCTTGCTGGAAGACCCCCCCCCCCCCCCACAATGCATTTTCAGTGCCCTGGCTGAAGGAAGGAGGTTCTCTTCCAAGATTTTAAGCTCCATGGCCCCATCCATCTTTCCTTCGATGCAGTGCAGCCGTCCTGTACCCTTGGCAGAAAAACACCCACAAAGCATAATGCTTCTGCCTCTGTGNGTTTATTTTAACAGCAAAAGATACATAGATCAACAAAACAAGCCAGAAAAATCATTATGTAATGGTTACAAACCAATTTGTCATTTATTTAGGGAAATAAGTATTTGATCCCTTGGAACACATGCTTTAGTACTTGGTGGAGTAACCATTGTTGGCAAGAACAACTGTCAGATGTTTCTTGTAGTTGGTCACCAGGGTTGCACACAGCTCAGCAGGAATTTTCATCCACTCCTCTTTGCAGATCTCCTCCAGATCTTTAAGGTTTGTAGGCTGTCACTTGGATACATGAAGCTTGAGTTCCCTTCATAGGTTTTCTATGGGATTAAGGTCCAGAGACTGGCCAGGTCACTCCATGACCTTAATCTGCTTCTTCTTGAAGCAGCTTGGGGTTGTTGTCTTGCTGGAAGACCCACCCACAATGCATTTTCAGTGCCCTGGCTGAAGGAAGGAGGTTCTCTTCCAAGATTTTAAGCTCCATGGCCCCATCCATCTTTCCTTCGATGCAGTGCAGCCGTCCTGTACCCTTGGCAGAAAAACACCCACAAAGCATAATGCTTCTGCCTCTGTGTTTGACGGTAGGGATGGTGTTCCTGGGGTTACAGTCAGCATTATTTTCCCTCCAAACACAGCAAGTAGAGCTGATGCGAAACAGCTCGATTTTGGTCTCATCTGACCACATCACATTCTTCCAAGTCTCATTGGAATTATTCCGGTGTTCACTGGCATACTTCAGAAGGGCCTGAAGTTCTCTGAACATGGGCCCTCATGAACAGGGGTACTTTGTGAGCACTGCAGGACTTCAACCTATAACTGCATACTGTGTTACCAATGTTTTTTTTGGCAACCGAGGTCCCTGCTGCTTTGAGATCATTAACGAGCTCCTCCCGTGTAGTTCTGGGGTTAGCCCTCAGTGTTCTTAAGATCATTGATGACGCACAAGATGAAATCTTCCTTGGGGCCCGAGATCCAGGGTGATTGACAGTTATTCTGTCTTTCTTCCATTTGCAAATAATTCCACCAACAGTTGTCACTTTCTCACCAAGCTGCTTGCTGATGGTCATGTAGCCCATTCATTCTTTGTCAAGGTCAACAAGCTTGTCTCTGACATCCTTAGACAGCTCTCTGGTGTCTCTCATGGTGATAAGATTGAAGATCTAGAAAGGTTAGTGACCAAAGAATACTCATTAAACAAAGTAATGCCATTAAATGTGAATGCTGGCTTGGTATCTGTTAATACTTAATTAAGTACTACTTGTGTTATGTTAATATGTTAATTTCTTGCTGACTTGTAGGGGATCAAATACTTATTTCCCTAGATAAATGACAAATTGATTTGTAACTGTAACAATAATTTTTTTTCTTGTTTGTTTTGTTGAAAATCTATCTTCTGATGTTGAAATAAACATACCATTGACATTATAGACTTCTCATTTCTTTATAAACCGGTTTACTTAGGAATTCAATGGGGGTCAAATAATTATCTCCTTCATTGTATGTTTCTTTTCACAACAAAATAACACTGGGCAGAGTTACTGATTTAGACCAGAAATACAAAACGTAAATCCATATTGTCACTGGCATTTTTCTTTGTAACTGTTACCCACTGAGAGCATAGCTCTGAAACATCCATACAGGGCCAGTCTCCATTAATATGAATAATGTTAGAATTTATAGAACCAGATTTGAACTGCCTTGGTATTACTGCAGTCTGAATGGTTAACATTCAGTTCAACTGATCTCTTTATCATTACAGGAGCTGAAAATACAGGTGATACCACTTTAACATCATCAACAGGGAAACTGACATCTACTCCAGCTGGAGGTAATACCTGTCAAATTTCTGCACGGACCTCTAAAATTCTACCAGCATAAATGATCTGGTGATAATAATGCTTGTGAAAATAATGTTTGTGAAGCGGTAGATTCCGCATGATACAGGTGTTTTCAGAGAACGGGTTTCTGAGCTACACTTGCTTGTTGCTGTACTGCCGGTGTTTAAATTGTAAACATGCTACATGGCTACAGATCTCTTTGTAGAGCTCAGAACCAAATAATACTAATATGGCATCATCCACAGTACCAGCACTGATACATACATACTACAGCCAATGGTAATACCTGTTATCCAATGGAGCTTCATAAACCCGTAAAACCTAATCAGCATAATTCATCTGATGATAATATTGATGACTATTAAAATAACGTTTGTGAAACAGCAGACTCAGTATGACGCAAGTGTTTTCAAAGAAAGGGTAGACTGAATTATATAGAACTGGAAAAGTTTTTTTTGTGCGGGGGGTGGGTCTTATTACCTTTTAGAAGTTTCTAAACCAGGTGACTTTACAGAAAATATGGTGGCTACTTCCCCTTCCTCTACAGTGCACACAACAACTACAGCAGGTAAGATTTTAATGAGCGTAAGTGACGACTCAATGTTGGATGTTGTGAGAACCACGAGTCACTTCTTTTTTGTCTCGTTCATTCAGGGGATTAAGAGGCTGAAATCATGACACAAGATAGAGGGAACTTTTTGTTGATAAAGAAACAATCACAACAGTTAGTGATGTGCTGAAAGGATTTAGTGCATATTCACTTTGTGTATCTCTTTGAAACATGACTGGCTGTTTTTTTGTTTGTTTTTTTTAAAGCAGTGAGCAGCATTAACTCTTTTTTGGAAGATTTCTCTGCAGATTAAGGCAGTGGGATTCAAACCTATTTTTTGACAGGGCGCCAACAGACGCTAATTTAATTATATCATCATGTTATATAATGTGTGCAGGCTTATATTATGTACACATCATTTTTTTATATTAATAAAGACTGTAATTTTGAAGTAGGTCTGCCCCCACTTCAAACCTGTCACACAGTTCTCTGTGCCCCCCAACGCAGACACAGACACAGACACAGACACACACACACCTGCATCCCTGCTGCAATTCCTTTGCACCCCACTAGGGGTGCCACCCCACAGTTTGAATACCTCTGTATTAGGCTATGCTTTTTTTTAGACAATCCATTCACAGCTAATTTTGCTCATTTTGAGAGAAAAGACCATTGGAGTCTCACGTTATATCCCACCTCGTTCTCTCTCTTCTTCCCTATATTTCTCCAACACCTTTGCCAGTCTGTTTGGGTACAATCCCTCCAGTGCCCCAATGCTCATGCTAAATTTTCCACGTCAGTGGGCAGTTAAACAAATAAAGGCTTGTCAGTTACTGTGAGAAAATTTCTTGTCAATCTTTATTGCAAAATATTACTCTTTCATTACATTATTTCATAACTGATATGTATGGCTCAGTTATTACTATGAAGAAAAGTACTTTTGTAAAGTACTTTTGCTGCATTTACTGCATTCTGAATTCTGGAATATTGTATGTTCTGCAGAAATAATTAATTTGTTAAATTTTCTGCAATAGTAATATATCTTTATTAATGTATATTTAAAAAATATACATTATTTTACAGGGCACCTGATACAGTGAAGGCAGGAGTAAAGCATGGAGTGAAGACAGATGTAACTAGATAGATAGATAGATAGATAGATAGATAGATAGATAGATAGATAGATAGATAGATAGATAGAAAGAATGATCCATTCATCCATCCATCCATCAGGGGTCAACACCATGGTGTTCTGATGGAAAAAAAATTATGTATATATATATATATATATATGGCTCCCCTGTTACACTAAACCCTACAGCAGTTTGCATAAATTCCTATTTCCTTGCCCAATATGCTGACTAAAGTTACATCCCTGCGGTGAGCTTCTGTAAATACCTAAAAATTCCAATAATATTAAAAATCACTGTGAAAGTAAAAGGCATTTATGGTAAAGGATTACGGTGCAGAATTTAAGCTTATTATTTAATACACATTAAAAAACAGAAAGAACCCTTAATGGCTGATTCTCAGGAAACCATCGACCTCATTACCGCAAAACTGTCCATTTAATGTTAATTTAATAAATCAAAAAATTCTAGTTTGCTATTAAATTCACGGGTAGAATCTATATGTTGTGTTCCTTCAAGTTTGCCACATTACTTCAAAAAAAAAGTTTCAATGAAATACAAAAAATATTAGGTTGTAGATTTTACAAAGTGTTGCGGTAATGACAGAAATCAGTCAAAATCTAATTTTTAATTTAAAAATATACATTATTTCAGAGTTTCAAGTAACTCAGCAAGTAACTTAGTATTTATATATTGTAATTTTTCTTTTTTACTCCGACTTTACTTCTTACCTTTTTCTATTTTTATTTCTTTCTATTTTTTGTATGTATGTGACAAATAAATCTCTTGACTCGACTTGGCTTGATGACTGTTAATGAGCACGACTGTCAATAAGCAATTTTTAAAAATGTGAAAATGTTTCGACTTTCTTAATGGTCTTGATGGACTTGTTTTGGAAAATGTTAAAAAACGTGTTCGAAATCAAGATTTCATGACAATCATCCTAACAGACCTGCCAGTTTAGGCTGTGATTGTCCATGATGTCTAATCTGAGCACAAGATTTATATATTGTTAAACTCCAACTTTAGAAGAGTAAAGAAAAAAATGTGGAAATCTACAATAACAAGCATTATGTCTGGTGAAAGATATTCACTATTTTGGTATTACTACTGGTATCTGAATGGTTAATATTCAGTTCAAATGATCTCTTTATCATTACAGTAACAACAGAACCCACAGGAAAAGCAAATACAAATTCAGGTGAATTTATAGAACCAGATTTGAGCTGCCTTGGTATTACTGCTGGTATCTGAATGGTTAACATTCCATTCATCTGATCTCTATCATTACAGCAACAACAAACCTTAACAGAACTGAAAATGAAACGAAATCAGGTGATACCACTACAACATCATCAACAGGGAAACTGACATCTACTCCAATTGGAGGTAATACCTGTCAAGTTTCTGCACGGACCTCTAAAATTCTACCAGCATAAATGCTCTGATGATAATAATGTTTGTTAGAATAATGTTTATGAAGAAGTAGATTCAGCATGATACAGGTATTTTCAGGGAAAATATTTTCTGAATTACACTTGCTTCCTCCATCAGATCACGTTTGTGGTTTAAAAATGTCATCTGCATCTGTTTATAATACAGAATGCTGGAAGAATTTTTATTGTGTGTGTGTGTGTGTGTGTGTTTTATGACATTTTAGGGCAGTTCATCCTTGCTATTGAAATATCTTCATGAGGGATATAGTTATTTTATATATGAAGAAATGTATTAATTGCTAATTAATAATAAAAAAAAACAGAGATTAGCACTCTATGAATTTCCAAAACATAGCACCATCCATTTAATGATGGCTTTCTCATCCATATTTTTTGTTTACTTTTTATAGCAGTTTTTTTTTGCAAAAGTATAATAAAAA